ATATATATATATATATTATAGATATAAGCATATTAGGAATATATTTTAAAAAAAAGGAAGATCGATATTTTCATTTTGATTCAAATAACAAACTCTCAAAAAATCAATCATCATTTGATGAAATTGAATTAATTCTGAAACATCGTTGGCGGACGCTTTTCGATCCATTTCTTGATGGCCGGTATCTCTTCGACTTTCTTTTGGAGTTGCTTCAAGTTATCATACTTTTCAATAATGTTTTCTTTCATCATGTAGTTGAGGTAGTCCAAGAGACCGACAAAGGTGAAATCGGCCCAGGACAGAGCACCGCCGACAAGATAACCATCATTCTTTTCTACTTGAGCATCCAGACGTTCCAAGTAGTACGGCACCATCTCCTTAGCATTCTTAAGTTTCTGTTCTTTAGCCTGTTCATTATCTTCGTAAGAATAAGCTGCGATACCTAATCAAAGCAAGAAAAAATATAAATAATAACGAACATAAGTTTGAACGAATAATAAGTTTGAATTAAGCATGTCAATAGATTTGCAATACAAATATAGAAAAATATTTCTACATGTTTCCATTGTTTAAAAAAGAATCTACTCGCACTTATCGAGATTTAGACTCATCAAAATCGTAATCTAAATTTGTTTTAAAAGAAAATTTTTATCTTTCTTAAATAAAAAGAAATTAAATATAAATTTGGATTATTAAATTTGGATAAAAATTTAAATTATGATCTACTCACAGGCGCGTAAATCATGTATAGTGTCAACAGTCGCGTCAATTTCCAGAGCTTCCCAATCGTTCTTGCCAGCAAGATCACATTGTTTTGCCAAATAACGAGAAATAGCTACGGATTGATTGATCTTTTTTCCATCTACTTCCAGTACGGGTACTTTACCGAATGGCATAGCTAGAACATAGTAATAAAGTATATAAATTTAATATCAATAAATAATTTAATATCAATATATAATTCAATATTTAAAATCAAATAAGGTTTATATTTAAAAAAAAAATATTTATGAATTCCTATCGCGACACAAATTTATATCTATAATAATTGTTTATACATTGTATATACATATTAATCAACTTTCAGAAACGATCGCATTGGATTAAACGACAGATGAACTAATATGAATGTTATTAATATTGATCATACTCGGCTTAATCTTCGGCCAGTCATCCCTATCAAAACGTTCATCTACAAAGTCGATATTAGCATAGCTGAACAGGAAACGAATTGGCTCGGCCAACGCTGTGACGGGAAAATAAATCAGCTTGTAAGAAGGCATGTTACTGAAAGAAAAAAAACATTTATTATTTTTTGTTTCACTGTAATCAAAATTCTAAGAACATAAAACTATCTCAACAGTAAATAATACAATTTAATATCTTTTGATCTCATCAATTGATTATTCTACATTAAAGTAGTTTTGCTAGCTGAAGTTATTCAACTTTTAATTTATCTTTCATCAATATTTAATTCTAGCATTAATAAACAAAAGTGATAAAATCAATTTTTGAACACTTTTAGTCAAGTTGAGGCTTAAATTAATTTAGAATTTGTAGAAATTGTTATTAAAATTTATAACAACTTGATAAAAATCTGATGAAACAACATACTGTTTATTAAAAAGATTTTCATTTATGTTGTTCCATAAAGCAAACTCAATCTATGGGTGTATCACATTTTACGATAATGTGTAATCATTGCAAGTCATATTTTCTTATCTTTTATCAATTTAAACATTGATAAAATTATACAGATACGTATATTTTTTACAACTTTAAATTTACTAAAAATCAAATTTCTTATGTTAAAAATTTTAAATATTTCCTCAAAATAAACCATTGAATATTGCAATGTGTCTATTACATTTAAAACATGTTGCATACAATAATATGAAATATATATGTATAAAAGTATGGAATTTTTAAAATATTTTATATTAAAATTTTTTAAAATATTTTAATATATGTACATATGAAGGAAATATACATTCAACCGAAATAGTACTACAGTTTTCAGACTTTTTATATTAAAATTTTGATTCATCACGATTTACGTTTCGCATGATGGAGTGCTAAATTGATAAGACGCCATTGCTGAGGCGTTCCTCTCTTATGGATTATTCTTGGCTAGCATATACTTTCGTTGGTAACATGATATTCTATTTGCTTCAAATCATTTACCAGATCTCACCGTTATTATTGCCTCGTCACAATGACAAAACAACGTCAATCTTTCTCACAAGGGGCATTAATTTACCGGCCGCTAATTCGTCGGGCGGTGTCAAAAACATTAAACATTGTTGAGATATTGACGCAATATTATGACATTTTACAATCTTAAATTAACCAATTGAGTAATTATCAAGTAATATAAGGAGTAATATAAGAATAGTTAAATTTTACTTACAGTTTGATTTCGAATATCAAGTAGAAGGCAAGAAAAGCCGTTCACTGCGACTTCACAGAAACCGGAATGTCTGACGAAAGAGCCAGTGCCAAACTCGTCTATTTATTTATCTCCCCGCCAATTACATCCTCACTTTATCTCCTCTCGTTGCAACGTGGCTTATTTGTGAGCTCCACAGGAAACTTACTAGAGATACAAGCGGAAAGAATCTTGAGAGGAGTCACCCTTTTCATTAGCCTCTTTCTTGTAACCAAGCGCCTCGCGTTACCAACTGAAGAAGTGGATGTAGACGGCGAAGATGTGAAAGCATCTGTACGCAATTTTATATGTACAAATATATTATTCAAAAATTAGTGTTCTGACATTTTTTAGAATTATCTCGTGCGATAATTATCGATATTTTAAATACAACTTGTAAAGAATAAAAAAGGAAAAAAGAGATAAAAGATAAAGATTGAGATAAAATTTAATTATTTATAGAAGATAAAATTAAAAAGAATCTTAAAAAATTTTGTCTTTATTTCTACAAGAATTAAATATGCGATATTCAAAATCTTATTCTTTTTTATATATCATAAGCAAATGTATGAATAAAAAAACAAATATATACATTGTATAAGACGGATAAACTATATGGGTGCAAAATTTATTTAATCGTATTATATGCACAAATTAGATTTTAACATCTCCTAAAAAATATGTACAAAATACATGAAAATTATTTTCGACACAGAAAAGAATAGTTCATGAAAGTTTGTGACTGACAGGACTTCACTTGGCTCGATAGACGAACATACATTCGTATAATGATTATACGATCTTATATACAGAAATAACATTTCATAATTAGAATTAACATAACATTACATGTTATCAAATATTTCCGTATAACAGCTATATAAAATCAATAAAAAAATCTGCTATATAAAAATTGTATATAATAAAAATTTCTAATGATCATCATAAATCATTACAAACGATACAAATTATAAATATACATTCTATACCCATCTTCCCATATTGCGATATACGATAAAAGCATATACTTATCATAATAACGATTACAAAGAAGAAAGCGATGTACTCAAAATGTAAAATATATCTCAATAGGTATCGTTAAAAAAAGGATATTTATCACAGTAGAATCTTGATTCACGTTTTACTCGTATGTTTCCTTAAGTGTGAAACATATGCCCGATGATAGAGAAGTTCCTAACGGGGGAACTCATTTCGGAGATATCGACACTTGGGTGCAGACCCGATGAGACAACCGTGGTCGCATTAGCTGTATGTAAGTTCATCCGCTGAACGTTATCCATGTTCGCCTGTACATTCAGAGTGCTGTTGATAACATTTAGGTGAGCCTGAGGCAGCGTGGCGATAATAGGCGTGATAACCGAAGAAGTGGACGCTACGGAAATGCCAGCGGTGGTCTGAGGAGATTGACTGTAGGAAATCTGCTGCTGCTGCTGCTGCTGCTGCTGCTGTTGGTGTTGTTGTTGTGCATTTTGCACAACTCCCGACTGATAATTATTGTACTGCGCCTTGCACTTCTTCTCGTGTACGAAGAGACTGCCAGAATGGCTATATGCGGTACCGCAGATTTTACAGGCATATGGTTTCTCACCGGTGTGCGTGAATCTGTGCTCCTTTAAATATTTCAACCGACGGAACGACTTACCACAGGTCTTGCAATGATAATTCGCTTCGCCGGTATGCGTGGTAATGTGAGCTTTGAGCGTGCATGATTTAGCAAACGCGGCACTGCAATATTGGCAGACGAACGGCCGGTCACCTGTGTGAGTCCTCTCATGATTAATGCAATTCGAATTAGACGTGAAGCCACGACCGCAGAACCTGCACTCGTGCGGTTTGTAACCGGTATGCGTCCTCATGTGGAACATCAGGCCAGTGTTCTGTCGGAAAGTCTTGCTACAAATGTGACATAGAAAACGCTTGAAGTTCACATCCTGTTGCTCCTTGGTGCGCTCGTGAATCCGTAGATGCTTTTGCAACTTGATCTCTTTCTCAAAAGACTTGTTACATTCCTCGCAAGTGTACAATTTCGACTTCTCGTTACTCTTCTCCTGATCTTTGTCGCAATTACACACAGTACCGCAAGTCGTGCAGCATTCGTCCTGCTTACCATGTGTGTTCACTTGATGTTTCATCAGAGACTTCTTCGTGTCATACGATTTCCCGCAAATTCTACATGGGAAGCCCTTACCCTCGTTATCGGAATCTAATTCCTCTCTTATCCAGATATTAATAAGTTTAATGGCAGATTTGTCGTCGGGTGGCTTCTGCGGTTCCAAGCATACCTTGCTCTCATCATGACCGTATCGATCCATGTGACTCTTGAGTCGGTCCTGTCGAAAAAACTTCATATTGCAGACGTTACAAACGAATTTCTTCTCGTCATGTATTAGCAGATGACGTTGAAGCGACCTTTCGGTGCGATAGCCCTTGCTGCAATGTTTGCAATGAAAAAGCGATGCATCATCAAACATTTCAGATTTATCATTGCTGGAATCACTATTAACTAAGTCTGAGTCTCTTTGTTCCACTCTTGTATTACGTTTTCTTAACTCTCTCATCGTGCCATCATTCTCACTTTGTAACTGTCCATCGTGCGCCATTTCTTCATCTTCATCCGTCGCAACAAGAAGTGACATTTCAAAAGACTCTGGATTATTCTCCAATTTTCTCTTATCACGTATCTCCTTTAGTATAGAAAAGACCTCCTTGGGATATGCTTTTTTATGAACATTCAGATGCCTCACCATAGTGTCGGTCTTCCTGAAATTCTTATTACAGATTCTACATAACACCGGCATCGGCTTTTCTTTCGTTCGATGTAAATTGCCATGCTTAAGTAATTTATCCAGACACAAGAATTGCTTATCACAGCTATCACATTTGAACTCTTTGTTATGTGTCGATGTGTGTCTTTCCAAAGACTTTTTACTGGAATAAAATCTATCACATTTCTGACATTTATACTGTAATTTAAGTTCAGACGTTCTATCCACTCTACTATGAACATTTCTCGTCTTTGTCTGATACTCACTATCGCTGTTGTCACGTTTAACGTTTGCACTTTTCTTAATATATCTTCTTTGTCTTTCTTTATGATTCTTCAAATTTTCTATGGATGTAGCTCTCTTGAATATAGCTAATCTTCTCGTTCTATAGAGATCTTTTTTAGCTATTTTGTCATATTCCATTTTATATTTATTACTATAATCTAAATCAATTTCATTATCTACCAAAACATCTTCAGGATGCTTGATTTGGTTGAAAGCATCTGATATTTCTTCATGTCCTATGATATTTGATTCTATAGTATCTTTCTCTGTATTAACTTTATTATCCATATTTAACTTTCCATTGTTCTCTGATTTGATTACATCCAAGAATTCAGTTTGACAATACTGATCCTATAAAAGAAAAAAGGATTTGTTTAACAGTCTCTGAATAATGATATATTGGGATTATTTTATTATATATAAAAATAGATACTTTTGTAGGAATGCAATTGCTGGCGATATTTGTGTACAAAACTTTCCCATACAACTTTCTAAGCTCCATGTCTGCTTTCTGACACTGTTCCCTCAAGTCATAAGCAATGTTGAGGTTTATCACACACTTGAGACAGATGCTGGTAGGCAGACCATCATCTTTCAAGACCTGGACAAAAAAGAGATTGTCTCGCAGCTTGAAGTACAAGATCAACCATAAGAATAAGACAAGAAGCAAACCTCTACACCGCCACATAACTGTAGCTTCTCCGACAGTTCAAGAGAGTCCGCATCGTCTGGGTCATCCCAGTTTTTGTGGAAGAGACACTGATTGTTATGATCCATACTCAGGCAGACTCGGCAGAGGCTAGTGTCTGAATTCGCCTGTGTCAACATTCCGTTGTCGATTTGTATCGTGTACGAACGGTCTTCTTCTCTCTTCTCCATCTCTGTCTCCATCGTCGTTTTTATCGTCACCGTCGTCGTTGTCGTTTCCAGGGGAACGTGAGCGCGTCGAACTTTCCTCGACGTTTTCACAAGATCGGCGACTTTCGGCGCGACGTCATCGTCGGGGATTCACGACGCTATCACATATATGCGTACACACACACACAGTCTTGCTGATTTTTCTCTTTCCCTCCGGTACGTCCCTGGACGCGGTAGCTTCTTTAGCGCGGTCTGCTGTCGCTCATTCGAACTAGATTTGTCACTCGGTTCACGCGGCTTGATAGTTTGACGTTTCGAGGGATGTTATAGCCGACGTGCCATCCAAACCATTAGATTATTAGAAACATTGTTACTTCATTGTCATTATGCCTGTAAGTCATTGTATCAATATAAATCGAACAATAGTCTCAAATAGAACGTGGGGCGTCACCCATTTAACATAACCAAAGTGTCGCCTCCTTAGCCTAAAATGCATTTCTGCTGCCTTTATTAAACATTTGTTAATGTATTTGAAAATTTTTATGAGCAGATTTTATTACTTGAATGACAAACATTGCTTGAATGCAAAGTAATTATGTATTACAAGATAAACATCACATAAGCTATGGGATTAGTCATCTCGTTTACTTTAAACTTGTTATGTATCGTTTAAATGTTTTAGGCGTATCATTCAAGTTTTACTAAGAGTCATGGCACCATCGGAAATATGGCACTGCTTCCAATCAAAACTACATTTAGAGGACCTGCTCCTCCTTTTAACAACAAAGAACAGGACATCATTGACGAGGCATTATATTTCTTCAAAGCAAACGTATTCTTTAGAACGTACGAGATCAAGGTGACGCTTTTGAAAACTCGATTCTATTGCAAGTTAGATGATGCGACTACACACACACATATCAATTTGCATTTTTATTGCAGAGCGAGGCTGATAGAGTTTTAATCTATATCACTCTATTTATTACTGAATGTCTAAAGAAGCTACAAAAGTGTGCGACCCAACCACAAGCCATGAATGAGATGTTCTCTCTCGCAATCTCCAAATTTGACATCCCTGGTGATCCTGGCTTTCCTTTGAACTCGGTATATGCTAAACCAAGTAGTCCTGCTGAGGCAGGTAAATAACGAGCTCATGAAATTTAAAGAGAAAGAATTCATCAATGACACTAATCAATAAATTATCAATAAATTATTTTTTAATCTTAGATCTTATGAGGCAATATCTTCACCAAATCAGACAAGAAACTGCTGTCAGAATTGTTGAAAAAGTATATGGCGAGGATGGAAAGCCAAGCAAATGGTGGCTGTGTTTTGCAAAAAAAAGTTTATGGACAAATCACTCTCTGGACCTGGTCAATGAGTTATTTCCTTTATATTGTTTTGAAAATGCATATGTGATTAAAGAATAAATCAGTTTAAAAAAAGCATCTATTATCTGTTATCCATTATCTTATTTCACATTTTCACGCATCTTTAAAAATATTTAATAAAATCTTTTCGCAAGGCTACATCTAAAACGCAGAAAGGAAAATCGAGAATACTCGCGAGATATCAGTCTCTTATGTCTCTTAAGTTTTAAAAAAGAGATATTTATTTTTTTACAGGATACGTCACAATATTGATACAACGTAACGTGCACCAATAAAATGATGTATCTTGTATTGTGTAGATTACAAACAAATAATTATCGTTTCCTGCGGAGAGACAACGTATTTCGTCTCTTCCAGGCCGCACGGCGCGAACCACCGATCGTTTGTGAGTAGTGATGTCCTTTGCCTAATCCGCGTGAACTTCTGCCAGCGGAGGTCTTACCACGGAGCTCACGATGCTTGTGTACCGCGTTACATATCCAATTCACTTTAGGATCGTTACGAATTGCCTGAAATAAAAACAGATGTTAAAAACACATGATGAACAAATCCTTAAAAATAATTTTCAAAGTTTATTGTGTTCAGACATCCAAGGAAGATAAAATAATCATATAATAATTCATTGGTAATAAATGTCATCATATTGCAAATAAAAAGAACTATGTAAAATCATGTTGTATATAATTATAATAAAACAGTAATTTTATTTCTTAAAAAGAGATAAATGTAAAAAGAGGTTAAACTTTGAATATACCTTATGGGCAGGATCGACCAAAATAACTTCATAGTATTTGTATGAAGAATCCTGAGCTACCCAGTAACTATTCAGAACTCGCAGCCCACCGCAACGACGACCAACACGTTCCTATAAGAAAACATTGTCAGTTAAGAAATCTTGGCAAAAAAAATTTTTTTTTTTTAACAGATAACTCAGACATCCAAGGAAGAAAAAAATCAAATTTATATTCATTATAAAAACTTTCATCATTTAAAATATTATAGGAAATTAATTTATCTATTCAATCAATAATAATCAATATTACAATAAAGTTATAATTTTTGTAATTAAAATATCCATAATCAGAAGGTACAACTATTTCCCCATTTTGAGATAAGAGTGGTGCATGGTACAATTCATCATATAAGATTTCTGAAATTTTACTTAACTACTTAGTTATGATATTTATATTCTGATATCTTACCTCGGCAACTGACTGCAATTTCCTGGTTGGTTTTAACTGGTTGACACCATGGCTCTTGGGCTTGCCATAAGTCGCACCTTTAGGAACTGGACGCTTGCGTCCACCGCGACGCACGCGAATTCTGAAGATGACAAAACCTGAAGAAAAATAAAATGTTTATTTTCTATTTTACAATTATATTTATCCTAAAGTTAATATAACAAGTATGTCAGTAGATATGGTAGTTTAAATCTCTTCACAAAATTGTCAGAGTGGTGCATCTAAATCATCATTTAATATTCACAATTGCACAAGATCACATATGCTCTATATTCTTGCAGTATATTATTATCTGAACTATATTAAAAATTCCAACTATTCTTGAATCAAATTCAATATTTTCACACAAACGTTCAATGCGTGATGAATAATTTAAGAATTTTACCCTGCTTGGCTTTATAACCCATACGACGAGCCTTGTCTGGTCTAGACGGTCTAGGAGCGCGGTGCATCTTGGTTAACTGGCGATACTGCCAGCATCTGACACGCAGCAAGAAGCGGAGCACATCGCTCTGCTTCTTGCGATATAGTTCCTGCATATACTTATATGCACCCATCGCGGATCCCTAGTTGTAAATAAATAAATCATTAAACAATACATTATTTACAATGTCCACACTGCTAAAACTTTAAATCTTTTTTTTTTTGAAAAAATTAGACGTATGCTAATTAAATCACTACTTCTTGGAGATATTTTCAAATTTTGCGACGTGTTCGAAATCGTCGAGAAGCATGCTTGAGAACGGCGAATATCCTCGAGGTTAATTGCGTTTGTATTATAACAAATATAATCGCTCGAAGAGAAAATGTACGAAAAATATGAAACGATCTCAAATTAGAAAACTCAGTGGATGATCGGCTCGCGTCCTATTGCTCAGAAACTCTAGGATGTTTGTAATAAAGCAGGATTTTCAGGACCCATCACTCACCCCACACGCTCTAAAACAGAAGGAAAGACCCTGCTCTTCCTTGAAGAGACACTTTACAAGATGGCGCATACGCCATAGCGTTCTCAGAGACCTCTGAAGCGGGGGAGAATTACGTGCGTGAACATCCGTCGATAAAAAGAAAATAAACTAATATCAGAGAGAAGCTTGAGAACGGCCATCTCAGTCCCTTTTTCGTGGGACCGTCGAAACCCCATACACTAAACATCCTCAAGTTCCATTTTAGCATGTTGGAATTAAACAGCCACTTCAATTTTCTGACATTGTTGATAAAAACTCTTATTCTAATGTGCGTCCGTGATACTTAAACAATTTATGAATTTAAGAATATGCTTGTATAATTATACATCTATTTACGTCCGCGTAATTTTTTGGCGCGAAGCGCACGTTTTGTGATATTGTAAATATGGTAAATATAGTAAGTATAGTAAAACTAAAAAATAAAAAATGTACTAACTACATGTTTCAGCATGACACATTCTTTTTATTTCATTAGAGAATCATTTCGATATTCTCATAAATATCGTTAGTCGGTTAATAAGCATTTACTGCCGCATTCATAAGATAGAACAACATTTGATGTCATTCAGTATTAAAGAAATACGAAGAAATGCGGAGCAGCATATTTCACTACCTATTCGTACGAACGCCGATGAATGAATGATAACACGTGGCGCACTCGTAAACACGTGACGTACCAGCCACGACGCAAAGACAATTCAAAATTACAACATTAGTCTGACTGACGAAATATTCAACAATATTATCAACAAAATTTAATTTCTACATCTTTTGATAATATTAAATAATATAATTATTATATTTTAAGTAACTTTTAAATGGTCTGTATCGTACATTTGTTATTTTATTTGGGATGTGTTTATTTTGAACATTCACATACTGTAAGCATAGTTTTATTTTTCTTTAGTGAGAATAAAAAAAATGATGTTTATAGCATGTCCAAAACAGATGCATTCTTAATAAACTCGTTATAATTTATTTAACGTTGCAATTTATTATAGTTTATTATAATTTAGTCTATTTCTTCATATATATATATTATATAATATATTTTAAATCCGTGAAAATTTCAAAATGCTCAAATTACAAAATATTTAAATCAGACCATCATTAAATAAAATTCTTCGAGATACGTCCCTTCCGTCACGTCAAGGCAATATCTGTCAGAGAGATTATCATCTATAAAAAGCTGTGAATTATCACTAGGTTTCAAAAAAAATAAATCGTCGATCAATGAATACGAGTAATTTCCGCCGCCCGGAATATTCAATGAAACAAATCATCTTTTATGAATGAATCCGACAAAGTTAATAATAGCGTGAGCTATCAACGTTCATGGTAAGATACATGATAAGATACATTGATGTCATGTCATGTAGAATTTATTGCGACTTCGTTTCGAAAAGGAAACGATACACAATACTACCTGCCCGTACGAGAATAACAAAGTACCCAGGCCGCGCGCCATTGTCTTATTATTTTAAATATAAACGTTTAAATATAACAAAATTAAATATCATAAAATAATATAGCTGTAAATAAAATAGCTTTCCGTTAAGCTTTGCGCACTATGAAAAAAATATTAGAAACAAGAATAAATATTAATTTTGGAAATAAATATTCGGAATAACATTAGTTAATATTGCATGAGTATGATTGCATGAGTTTTTAGTGACAAGGTTATATAGTATGTGATGTAAATACTTTATATAAAAATATATAATGTTAAAAAATAAATGGCGAGCGCTTTGTAATATTCCAATATAAATGTATAAATGAATATATGCGATTTATATGATTCCTGCGAAAGATTATACAGGGCTATTGATACGCGCGGAATCTGGGTCAAACTTAAATCTATGTCGCTCTTATAATTTCTGTTTCAATACTAAAGCATTGAAAGTAGTACGATGTTCTTTGCAAATTAGAAAAAGAGGTTTGTATGTGTTGTCCATAATTCTAAATTCTTTCCATCATAATTGCAGACATAACTTTCTCAAATGTGACATAAAATTTCTTTAATTTCTTTTCTTCTCATGGACACGTAAAAAAATGCCTGTCCTTTATTTTGATATAGAATATGACATATTAACAATTCATCAGAAGGAGATATTTTTATACATTTTCTTGTGAAAATATTTATGCTTCTCAACGAAAATCAGATTTTTTTCCTTCAGTTTTTTTAGATTATGTGGAGTAAATAATAAATGCTGAAAATCCCTTTTTATTACAGACATTCTAAAATTTACGACGCGAGCAGATCTATTAAGTTTCCTAAATCGAGGTTGTTTTACATTTTTCTTCGAGCAATTACATTTGCTACAATAGAAATGCTAATCTCGATTTGCTGCTCTTGTGCTCGGCGTGTTTTGAAGATTTCGTAGACGTTGTCGAAAACATTTCCCAAAAATATGATGATCCTCTGCGTGGAGGCTATATTATAATTATATATTTTCAGGCTACACTCAGAATATTTATATACTTATACTCGTATTTTTTCAAGATGTAGTCAACATTTATATTATAATTATTGATTTTATATTCTCAGAATATATCCAGAATAACTCATTGTCTGAAAAGGTACTCACAAGGAAACGCATGGAAGTGTCCTTCCTCGATTTTAATGAGTTTTTAATACGTTATATTCTAATATTTTATTCCTGAAAAATACAAATTTGATCATATAAAATAATTTTTATTATTTTTTGAAATATTATTTTCGAAAAATAATCTATTGCATATTTAATGCACATAAGCTCGTACATTCATGTCGATATATATTAAAGAGAAAAAAAAGAAATATTTTCCTTTTTTTCTTTTTTCCTTTATTATAAAAATAGGAAGATATTTCCCCTTTTTCTTTTCTTTCTTTATTATATATCAAGATTAAAGAAGAGAAGAATTATATTTGCTTCATTTAAAATTACAAAAAGATAATTTGAATATATTGCGATTTTTGCGATTTTATTTGCGATTTTATTGTTAAAGAAAGTTAGGAAGGATTTCTGCGCGGTTAGATAAACCTTGAGTGATTTCGCACCTGGTTGCACCCCGCGGAGGATTCCGCGGCAACGAAACGGCGCGGTCACAATATCGAGCGACCCGGTGACCTCTCCGGCCGGTGGAATTGATTATTTTCAGCAGGGAGTCCCCGCTCGAGACGATATACATATCGTCAACTGGTTAGACGTGACGCCGTCTAAATAGTCCATTATGGAGAGCCGTTCGGGCAGCATTAAAGACCCGATGTATTATCCCGAAAATGACGGGGCATCGAGTGGCGGCGCCGGCGGTAGCCAGATCAGTGGGGAATTCGTCACGGACAAAAGTCAACGCAGCTCGCTCGGCAGCCAGGAGATCAACCTGGATGACGGTAACGCGCTCAAGGTACCGCGTAAATTCATCACGAACTGGCGGCAGGCCTGCGATCGTACGCGAGACCGGACCAAGGATCTCCTGAAGAGATGGAGAACCACCAGCAGCAACGTTGATGAACTCGCCGTCGCGCCTGTTGTCGCCCCCGAATTGGAGCAACCCAGCTGGAGCGTGCACGTCTGGAGTACGTTTGACTTGTTTCTTAATTTCGATAGGACTATTAGATTTTTTTTTAATTAATAAATTTTTAAATTAAATTATTGTTAGATACTTAAGAAGGAGTGAACGATAAAGTTTGAAACTTCTTTTGCGTCGTTATATTATGAAATTGTGTGCATCGAAGTTATTTGAAATCATTTCCATCTGGTTAATTTTGCCCATAAAAATAATACATTATAATTAATCAATTAGTTTTTATTATTCTGTGACTGAATGAATTGATAGACAAATTAAAAATAACTGTATGA